CCAGGATAACTCCTTTCCTCTTCCAAACATCTGACAAAGTGACTTAGCACTGCTGCTGCTGAGCTCCCAGCAAACACCCAGCACTGCAAGTGCTGTGCCTTCATGTTTGGAGGCTGCACAGCCCTGCTCCCACTCACTAATGGGCTTCTCAGGGTTATTTTACCAGTTCTCAAACAAACAAAATGTGTGACAGAGCACACGGCACACCTTACAGCAGCTCCTACACAATCACAAACAGAAACAAAGCTTTTCCTTTCCACAAAATAATGTCCTGTTTGAGGTCTCCCTAGGTTTTAGGCAGAGGCAAAGGCAAATGGCCTTGCAGCCACACAAGAACCCAAGTGTCGGTCCTTTGTAGTCTGTAGCTGTCCTTTTGATGTAGATATCCTTTCCTGTTGGATAAACTTTTACCACTGCCAGTACTGTGGATTCCCAAGCTGCCTCCAGCTTTAATTAGCTTCTTGTCACGGGGGACAGCAGTGAAGAACTTACTCAACAGCAGGAATGGAGGCAGCAGCCACCCTTCCAGTCCAAACTATGTGCATTCTTGGACCTGTGAACCTCTGGGACCTCTCCTGAGGTCCACCATCACAGCAGGTACCTTCTCCCCAGCTGGAGCAAGGGGCTAAAAGCACCCATCGGAGGACCTGTGGGTTAGGTGCTCCCTATTGCCAGCAGACCATTGCTCTCCAAGGGGAGCAACACGGGGGCAGTGCTGAGGGCTCCAGGTGGTGCTGGCACTGGTGGGCACCCAGAGCCAATAACAGCACCAGCACTGCTTAGGAACTGAAGAGGCTGGGACGGCTGTGGGGATGGGAACAGGGAGCATGGCGTGGCACAGCGGCCCGGGGTCAGCCCGAGGCTGCCGAGAGCAGCTGTGCAATCAATACCACTGTCCTGCTTCCTCTCACATACCTCCAGCATGACCAGAGGGATCATAACCAGGAAACTCAGTAAGAAAAGGGCTTAAACTCTGCCTTTAGTAACCTGAGAGTTTTCAGGACATTTTGGGGAGTGCCGCAGCATTTCCCCACTCTGCTCCTCTCACAAGGAGAGGAGCTTGGGGCTGCTTTGAAATGGGGAGGCTTCACCCGGCCATCACACAGCTCCATCGCAGCCAGAAGCACGGCTAAGCTACTCCACAGGCCAGGCACACACCCTGCACACACCCTCAGGACAGTGACCTGCCTGGCCACTTGCTCACTGGCTTGCAGGATGCATCTGCAACACTTGCATGCACATTTCTTAGCAGGACTAAAGAGAAAGAGCCTGGGCTCCTCAATTTGGCCAGGATCTGCAACATAAATATTTGTACAGAGCATCATCACTCACCCCCTGTAGCCTCATGAACAGGACACTCTCAGCATGGCTGAGCAGCTGAAATGCTGCAGGGGACAACAGGACTTTTAATTAAGGTTATGACTTTGCAGAAGCACTTCCTTGCATGGAAAGCCTTTTGGACCATGCAAACTTCAGCTACAGATTCTAATCTTTCCATCAAAATCATTCTCACTGAAGCCAGAGCTCCCGATCTTGGCTGCAGTGTGAATCCTGTGTAGGCAGACACATGAGCAGGCACATGTCAGCCTGGGAAGAGGCTCTGCCTGCAGGCCAACACCCAAACATCAGCCTGGCAGGAGGCATCCGGCACTGCCATGGAAAACCCACAGGCGTCTAGGAGCCTAGTGCACAGTACCTGTGTCCTCAACAACCCCACCGGGGGGGCAGCCTCTTGTGGGATGAAGATCTGTCTGCAGCTCCATCCACAGAGGTGATGACCACACCCCATATCACACATCAGATCCAAAACCTGCAGGAAGGACAACATGCATGACCCACGGACAGAGTGCCTCTTTCCCCTGCCACAGCTGGAGAGAAGCAAACCTGACGTTGATGGCCTCAGACCTCAGATCACCTCCTACACCTGATGTGGGCTCCTGTCACCTCCCCCTCTGCATCCAGGATGTTCTGCCAGACACCACAGGGTGATCCATGTCCAGCTTCAGCAGGAGCTACTGCTCTCCACAGGCCACTCCAACCCACCCTGAGTGACCCAAGGGACAGGCCAAGCCCAGACTGTGCAACAGTTAAATCCCAGTGTTGGCCTTGCAGGAGGACCGGGAGATCCTGTTGCTCAGAAAAATGCATTTGTCCAAGACAAACAGAGGCCGGGCATTGTTTCAGCATGAGTCAAGTGAGTGGAAACACTCCCGTGCCATCCTGTTTTGCTGTCTGGAGGTTTCCCCTACCTTCAGGATGTGCAGACAGGCTCCGGGACATTTCCGATTTTCTGTTCTCTTTCTCCTCTGTTTCCCGTGAGTGTCTGTGCCCAGCACTGCTCAGCGCAGCAGCACAGCAGCCCAAGCCTTCTGCAGCCCCAACTTGTGCCTAGAAAGTACAGCCTACAGCCAGGTAGCCAACAGGAACAATGCTGCTTCCCAGAAAACAGGGCACCAGCTACAAAACACACCCATTTGCCTTCTCTGATGGGCCAAGCAGGTCACAAGGATCCAACACAGCCAAGTCAATTGATCTCCATCCATCTTCTCCATTGCTACAGAGAGGGAAACATGGCACCCAGACCCTTCCCAGCCACTGGCTTACCCTGCCCCAGGGCTGTGAGTTTACAGCTCCGTGAACAAGCTCAGGACAGCTCTGCTAACTCGCACCAAGCCCTCTTAGTGCTCTGGGACAAAGCTGGTGCTGCAGAGAGCTGTGTGAAATAGGGAGGAAAACGTGAGTGCCAACAGAGAGACTCCACCATTACCCCGTAACCCCCCTCCACCCCCACAACCCCTTTCCCAACTGATGCTTCAAGCCTGCACACGTGGCAAACCACATGGCTGGAGCTGGTACCTCTTATTTCACACCTACGACGCGTTTTTATCTTGCTAAAAGTGTAAAAATAGCAAAGTTGTTTTTTTTTTTTTGACAAAGACAGTCACGCTTTGTCAGTTCGTGTTTGTGTCTGGAAACCCTTTTAGCGGCGAGGTGCGAGCCCCGCGGGGCGCAGGGCTCGGCGGGAGGGCAGCCCGGCGTTTGCATGGCTCGCCCCGCCACGGGTGGTCTGGCGACAAGGAGGATCAGGAACTTGTTTTCACATGAAGATCAAAACAACACAAGAAGAAAAGTACAACATAGCCCAAAGCGACCCAGAACGTCAAAACTGCAACAACAGAAAGTTCAGCCCAAAAATGCAGCCTGGGAGGGCTGTTATTGCTTGGCTTGTTTGTCCCCACCACAGGCGGCAGGAGGGGGAGAACACGGCTGTGGCTTGGGTCAGGTATTCAGCGCTCAGCCCCGTGATCCCATGCCTTGTCCCCTGCCATGCTGAATGGCTCTCCAGCAGAGCACCCCAAAGCTTAACTCGGTCCCCTCCAGGCATGCCCGGCCCCACAAACCACATCCAGGCAGCGGAACACCATCCCCACTCCCTAGTCATGGATAGAAATAATGCAAAACCCTGCAGAGATGAAAACACAGTGATTCTGCCATGGACTAACTGCAGGCAAACAAACGCCTGATTTATCCTGTTCCAGGCTGCAGCACTAATGAACGGGACCGGCCCTGCCGGGCAGCGCTGACCGAGGCTGACACTGCAACAGCCCCGCGGCCACACTTGGCTGCGGCTGCTCCCTCCATCCCCCTTTAAGCTCTAACAATTGGATGTGATTAACTGGGGCTGGATTTACCATTCTGGGCACCAAAATCCTGCCAGCACACCCAAAGCAGATACAGGAGCCCTCCATGCTCCCACGCTATGGAGACAAGACCTCAGCATCCCTGTTCCTCTAGTCCCAGCTCTCCTTGCCAAGAGTACAAACCAAGAGGGGAGGTGACACTTCTGATACGGACACAGAGATGTCTTTTTCCAGCCCAGGAACAGTGGTGACTTCTGTAGTTTGAGCAACCTCACGCTCTCAGCTGACTTAGGCTACGAGGAAGTGACTGGTGGTGATTAATGACCATCAATCCCCTGCTGATGAACTTCTCTCTGTCTCCACCCTCATCCCATCCGGATGCACACAAAATAAGAACAGCTGCTTCAGATCGTTGCAGCTCAGCCTTTGCCTAAGAGTGCTGCTGGTCATGTCTTAGGAGGTTCAGTAAGGAAGCAGGCTTTCAGTAGGGAAGGAAAAGACATACAGAGCTCTTCAACTTTTTTGTCTTTCTCCAAGAAATTTTCCATTAGGATTAGCAAATCTAGCCAAGTCAGATGCTCAAACTCAGCTCATGTGAGAAGCCATTAAGGCATCCTGAGTTGATTATCTGATTTACTTTGGATTAAAACAAAACCTGAGGTTCATCCTTGGAATAATGCAGGCTAAACTAAACCAATTTTTTTAAGCACTAGCCTGGAAATATCTGTGTCCCTGAAACCCATCAGTGGTCCACGACTGGGAAGGACTGAGCCTCCCCTTGGTGAGTGATTCCACCGTTAGCTCCCACCAGTCATTGGCTGGTGGACCAAGGGTCTGAAGAGCAAGTGACCATGGGGTCACCCTCATGCTTGCAAGCCCAGGCCACCAACAGAGTTGTCAGTTTGGCCTTCCCTGAGGGAAGCAGAAGGTGCACTCACACTCCAGGGACCCAGAACCTCATTGTTGCCCAAAATCAACCCCTACTCTCTGCAATCTTCACAGCCGGAACCTCTGAGCCCCAACAACACAGATGCTCCAGAATGCAATCACACCCCCTCAGCACGCATGGCTGGGCAAACAACGCCTCTAGCAGAGGTACTATAGTCCAGGTATGGATTTTGGCACCAACAACCAGGAATTTGGCTCTGAAAGTCTTGTGATGGTGTGTGAGAACAAGTAAACAAACAACAGCAACACTGTACACTTTACTCATACCTACCTACAAGTTTCAGATTAAGTTCCCCTGCTGGGATTAAAGCAGGAAGACCATTTAGCCCTAGAAGCCCAACCTGAGTTGAAGAGAAGACACACCAGCCACCCACTGCCCACACCCTGGTCCCCATAGGGAGGGAGCTTTACCTGTACACTGGTTGCATTTCCCTGGCAATTCCAATCACTGCTCCCTCTGGGAAATTGTCAAACTCATCAAACAGGTCTCGGATGTTGGTCTTGTACTTCAGGTCCAAGTCTACCTGGATGATCTGTGTTATTTCTGAAAGCACAAAGGGGGAAAGTCAGCTATATAAGACAAAACTGTAACCAGTGATTACCAGTGGCTACCTGATGAACTGCTCCCCATGAGGATTTGGTGCATGGTGAGCATTCAGCTCCATGGGCAAGACTCAGCCAAGTCAGGGCAAAAACAATCCAGTTGCAAACTCTGCATGAAGCTACTGACCTTCAACCATCACGAGAGCCTTTACCACTGTGTATTTTAGGCATGATTTATTTCAGGAATACTGTCTAGTGACCTCCTGCTTCTATCCACTCCCTCCTTCCTTCCAGAAGACTGTTTTTCCATATGACTGACAAAAACAAGAAGCAGCTTCAATCCAGTCTTCTGCAAAACCCCATCCTCACTTCTGCTACCCACTACTGGGAGCGTTTCCCACCTTGAGCCCAGAAAGCAGCCTGACAAACCAGAGCAATTCCCATCAGGCAGCCACATGACACCTCCAGGATCACCTGCACAAGCCCATTACCTCCCAGCAGGTTGCCACAGCCTTCCCCAAAGGCAGAAATTACAGAGCCCTGCCTGTACAGCATAGCTGGTAATCTGCAGCAGCCTGGAAGACTTTATTCTCACTGGTGGTCAGAGATAAGGAGAGTTATGCAGACATAGAAGCATCTTCCACTTGCAGTGGGAAATCAAGAACAAGGAGAGACTAGAGAACATCATTACCAAGGCCAGTCCTGAGCTCAACAACAGGGTCAAGCCTCTGCCCAAATTTGTCACCTGTCTCCGCTGCAGGACATGAGACTGATGGATGGAGTTGCTGCCTGGGAGAAGGTACAGGAGATGTGCCTTGTCAAGGCTGTTTGTCCCATGTGGATCTGGGGATGCTGTATGGATTGCAGCAGGCCCAGTACAATGCAGCAAACACAAACACTGCAACAGGTCAGACCATTAGATGGACTCCCCCAGCCGCAGGCAAAGCTATGAGCATCTTCAGCCCTCCTCAGGAACTGTGAGTGGAGTGGAGCCATCCCCCATGGCATTATGTAATGCCACCGCTATTTATATGTGTTATAAAAGCCAAGAGCAAATTGGCCAGGTTGCTTAGCACTCGGCACTAATTGGATTGTGTCAACCTGTTTTGGCCCCACTCATCATGCACAAGTGCCCTTACAGCTCCCTGCAGGCTATACCTGCCTGTCACCACCACTTCCACAGCAATTAGCAAACCAGGCCCTCATCCTTCCTCCTGCCCAGTACCTGCAGGCAGGAGGACAAGCCCTGCCTGCCCTCACCTTCTGCTGCCTGCATCTGCCATGCCTACGGGCAGGGTTTCCCATCAGGCTGGTGTCACTGGGGCAGTGCCGACACTCCAGCCTTCCCACCACTACAGTTCCTCACTCCCTCGGGCTCAGGATAGGCTGTTCGCTACCACTGGGCTGCTGAGAGCAGGAGGCATTGCTCTGTTTTAAGCCCCCAAAGCCACCACTGGGACTAGAGACCCAGAGAGCAGCCAGGCACCAGCAGCTATCGCCTGGCATGGGAGAGCAGCTTCGCCATTTCAAACATGCTCATCACTTGGTGTTTGTGTTTCAAGCAGACGCTGGGCTGTACAGCAGCTCTGAATTTTCTGCAGATCTTGCACTAATCCGGGGCTCTTGGCAATTGGTCATACCTACCATGGTGTCCTCATTTAAGAATGAAAAGGCCCTGTGAGGTTAAGCAAGAAATATACTGCTTACTCTGCGAAGCATCCAAGCAGAAATATAAATCAAGGAGAAATAGTATCTAAGATACAACCCAGGCTGTATCTCAATTTATTTTTTTAACATCCATCATGCTCTATCTGCTAAAGGGAAAGGCCATGCTCTCTTCATCCAGCAGTACGGCAATCCCCAGGTCTACCTAGTATTTACCATCACCATAATCCTCTGTTTGCAAAGATTTAAAACCCAGGCGCAGTAATTCACCACAGGCTAAAGCAGGTCTTGACCTGAAAGTAATTTCCCCCAGGCTTCCGAACTGCCTTAGAAATGGCCAGTGCAACTCAAGCATGTGAATAAGCAAAGCAGCAGATTTGTGCAACAAGGAACATGACATGTATCCCAAATACACCAAACCTCCCCAGTGGCCCATACCACAGCAGGGCAAAACCCCAAAACCTTGATGCTACTGCACTTGAGAATATCCAGACTGGTCACAAAACTCCAGGGCAAGGAGACCTCAGAGCTACAGCACAAGCTCAGCCCCAAAGAAATGCAGGGGGAGCCTGAGCCCTCCAAGGTACTGCCAAAGCCAGGAAGAGGGGAAGGGGTTCCCAGGGGGATCCCAGCACAACTACACCCAGTGCACAGCAGCCTTCTGACGCATGGTCAGGTTTCAATTAAATCAGCTGTGAGGCACGCCATCCGATTGTTCTCTGAAATTACAGATGAATGCCAACTGCAATTAATCACAGCGGAGAATGAAAGCTGAGCTTGGAGGAAGCTTCAATCCCAGCCCTGCCCGCCCCAGCACCCCAACAGGTGAAAAGCTCCAGAGGGTCCCCATGCAACCCAGAGGGTGCTGCCCAGCAGCAGCATCTGGCCATCCCCAAAAGCCTTGGCTGAGCAGGGAGCAGGGCACGAGTGCAGCTGTGGTGCCAGGCAGCGATGCCAGCACCACAAGAAGCCCAGCATGGAGACACACTGTTTATTTACACAAACACGCTGGGTTCTCCATCCTGCCCTTCATTAGAGGCTCCCTGTGTTGGGCTCGCCCCCACACACGGGTCCCATGCTGTGCCAGCAGAGACCCCAGGAAACACTCATTAAGAAATTAGACCTAGTAAGCATCAAGTACTTCTTATTTTCCTTTTATCTTTTTCTTTCTTGTTTTTCTTTTTTTTTTTTTAATTTTTCTTTAAAGCAAGCATGAACTGCAACACTGCAGACACAACTGAGCATGGGTGACACTAAGCACCACTTTGCCAGATGCAGCTTGCACGTTCAGATTAATGGCTGAGATGATTTCTCTGACTGGGACTGGCAAGGGGCCAGGCACTAATATTTATGATGTATCAAGCGCTTTGTCCTGGCTGCCATGTGGGGGTGGAGGAATAGCGTGCTCTCTTAGGCATAAACTGCTCGGAGGGATCCAGCTGGAAATGCAGGGAAAGGCTGAGAGTGTTCTGCTCAGCAGTGAGTTTTCTAACTTTGCCATACTGTGTATCACCCTCCATTCTGCTCAGTTCCAGCTCTTCCAGCCACGGCATGGAAAGAGGAGCTGTGCCACTCAAAGTAGAGATGGTCTCCATTAGCAGTGACAGCTTTACAACACAGGTTGGCCCCATTAAAAGCTCGTAATGTTTTACTGCAGCCTTATACCAGCAGCCACAGCAGGGCTGTGCTCCAGGTTTGGCTCAAATCCTCCCTCCAGCTATGTCCAGAGGATAAAGGCCAGCTCCAGGGATGTATGATCTCATAGCCTCATCCCAGCAAGGGGGCACAGGCAGGCAGAAGTCACGTCAACCCCCCTGTGTCCTGCTGCCCTGCATTCTCTGCCAGGACCCAGCAGAGCTATGCCAGCACATGGAAAGGCACCCCTTGTGTGTGTGTGCTGAGGGGCCTGGTGGGTTGTCTGGATGCTCTGAGTGATGTCCAGGAGTGCCTGTGGCAGAGGACAGCTTGTGCAGCAAGTCCGACAGCCCTTGCCAGGAATCATGGACACCACAGCACAGCAGGGACAGAGTGGGCATGCAGCAAGCCAGGCCACCCACCAACACATGATGAGACACTTAGGAGGAAATTTGGTCTAGATGAGCAACCTGACCTAGTGGGTGGCATCCATGTACATGGCAGTGGAGTTGGAAACAGATGATCTTTAAGGTCCCTTCCAATCCAAACCATTGTATGATTCTATGACTCTGTGTAAATGCTCTTCCCAGAAACATCAGGCAGGACCATGAGTGGCAGCAGGGGGCACAGGGAGGAGAAGAGCTGCTTTGGCCAACCAAGCCAGAGCTCTGGGGATGCTGTGCAGTGAGAAATCCTGCAGCAGCTCTTACCCCTCCAGGGCCCTTTTTGATGCGCTGCCATTGTTCAGAGCAGCCTATGGATGGGCAGCCTTGAACCTGCCCGTGGGACAGGACTACATTTCCCTAGCCTGAGTTGAGAGGATAGACTGAAAAAAATGTAAATAGTGAATTTAGAACTACATGACAGTGGATGGAGGGTCAGATGAAGAGGCAATACAAAGGGTGGAGTCTGCACAGAGCAACACAGGCTGTTCTGCAGCCAAACTCATTTACACTCATCCTAACAACTTTGTATGAGGGTCACTACACTGGCAAAGCTGAGCCCACACGGTAGGTGCAGGGCTGGTGTGCAAGCGTTGGCCTTGGCTCCTAACCCCCCACTTCCATACAAACTATGCCAGGTCTGGGGCAGAGGCATGTCACCACTGACGTGGAGAGGTGAAAAGAGTGAACCTGTGTCCAGGAACAAAGAGTGAAATGGAGAGCTGCCATCTGCAAAGGGCAGAAGCTGTCCAGCAAACAGTGTGGTCTAAATCACTGATAAGTGAGCAGTGACTTAATAGTTGTAGAGTAGAAGCAGCAAGAATTGAAACCTCCTGGAGGTGGTGAAATTCTCCAGCCCACTGACAGACTCATTGTGGAACAAACTCAACCCTCTCAGAGTACAAAACCCTGCCTACAGCTGGTCTGGCAGTGGAGATGCTGCAAGCAACAGTGGGAGGGCAGGAGGGGACAGGCCACTGCCCTGCCAGGCTGCACTGTGCCCAAATCTCACACACACTCCTGAGGCAAACACCTGTAACCCAGGCTGGTGGTCATTTAGCTCTGCTCTGGCCATCATCTGCACTGGCATCTCCACCTGTCTTAACAAATCTGTTTTTAAGAACCTAAACATTCTGATGCCCCATGCCAAGGAGGAGAGACTCCAACACAGAATCACAGAATTGTTTGAGTTGGAAAAGACCTTTGAGATCGAGTCCAACTGTTAACCTGGCACTTGGCACGTACCAGGAGCACCCTG